CCTGGACAAGTCTCCAGTCCATCGCAGGGCAACACAGAGACAAACCATTCACACCTAAAGAGAATCTAGAGAAGCCAACTAACCTAACAGTCATGTTTTTTTGGACTGTGGGAGGAAGCCGGAGTACCTGGAGAGAACCCATGCATGCTCAGGGAGAACATGCAGACTCCATGCAGAAAGACCCTGGCTGGATAATTCTGAAATATTTTACATCATAATGTCCTGTAACTTTGTTTGATCATTATGTTAACATGCATTCGATTTTTATATTAAATTGTAAAGACTATGTGTTGTTTATTGGAGCTATACGAACAAACTAAACTGAATTGAAATCAACTCAATATGTTAAACACTGTTTAAGTCCTCGGAGGAACTGCATATATACTGGGAATTATTTTTCAAAGTAATATATGCACTCATAATTAGCAGCACAGCCTCTCACACAAGTAAAGTTGATCAAGATAAATTAGTAGAGTGTTTCTGGTTCCAAACTTTTGGCAGAATCTGTAAGCATAGATAAAGATCAAAACAGCACTGACCATTTCCAAATGAATATTCTTCAGATGAACAGTCACTGCATTCATGGCAGCAGCCTCCAAGTTCCTTTGATTTCAGGATTTGTCCTGGTTGGCATTTTTTGGAGCAATTAAAAACAGAGACCTTTGAAAGACACAGTATAATTAGCATATGTTCATCAGACATTGACTTTATAAATTCCTATCTCTTCCTTACATTCCCATAATTCCTCCATTGTGATAGATCTTCACTAAAGGAAATGTTCTTATTTGGCCAGTATTCTCCAACTTTTCTTATGTCCACACCTCTTTTGGACTCTGAGGTGTTCCAAAGCATAATATCATATCCCAAACTGGGATCCCCATTCGCATCAAAGTTGATAGTTGTGTTGTTCACAGTAAGTTTGATATTGCTGATTTCTTTGAAAAGCTGCAGGGACAAATTTAAAGCCATTAATTTGTCACGGAACAGAATATCAATGTCAGAATTATGTTGTCATAAAAACCTGACTTATATCAACAACCCAGAGATTTGGTTACTGTACCTCAAAAGGTGTGAATCTGGTCCGTTCACAGCTCTGATGGTCACATTTTAGTAAGCTTCTGAGGCCCTCAGCAATAACCTGGACGGCCAGATAGATGCCATAGGATTCACCGTGGTCAATGTAGCAGTGCAAGCAGTTTGGCTTGGAAGTCTTTTCCTGGCAGTTACATTCCATGTCCTCTTTGGAGTTATTTATGGAAAGCAAGTAATGCCTTAAAATGGCATTTGAAGTTCCATTAAAGAGAGAACGGACGTAATTTTGGAAACCAGGAACCTCATTCTGACTAAAGATGAATCCAAAAACTGGACCGATCAGTTCGATGCCTTTTATCTCAGAGATCTTTGGAGAAGTAGACCAGGTGTCACTGGCAATCCAGTTCCTGGTGATATTTTGTTTAATTACTGCTTCCAGGATGATACGAACATTGGCATCTTTGGTGAACATGATGATGGCCTCAGCTGTGGACGTGGTTATCTTTTCAATCAGATCTTTTGCTGTTGAAGAGTTTTCATTGAAGTTACCAGGTAGAATCTCTACAAAATCCACACAGATATTATTCTCCTCAAAGTGTTTCTCAAGGCTGTCACTACCATACTTCCCATATTCATCATCACTTCCCACGATTACCACTGATTGCCATGTAAAATTCTTCACCAGCTCTAAAATGGCTTGTGTCTGATATTTGTCACTGGAAACAGTCCTTAGGAAGGTGGGGAACTTATATTTCATGCTGAGCAGCTCACTGGTTGATGCATAACTAATCTGTGGAGGGAAAGAAAAGGATGTAAGAACTTTACACACACCTTTTGATACAAAATATGACACTATCATGGCTTGAAGTTTATGGACCAGAATGCAGTCAGACATTAGAAAGTAGCATGGTGAACTAAAGATACTTTTAGTTAAAAAAAAAACCACATCCCCACATGTATGATGTAAAAACAAGGAAACAATTCAGGTGATTTTCTTTTTATTACTCTTTTTAAAGGGAGTGAAATAATAAACTTTATATAGCAGCCAGTTTTATCCCTGAATCACGCTTAAGCGTTTTGCAATAACCATGGCAGAATTAGCAAATGGAATACTGTGGAATTATTACAGTTCAAGGGTGTACAACTTATTGCATCTAGGCTGTCCTAGATTGGCTTTATTTTCTGTTTTCTTTTGTCACAGACTTTTTTTTTCCAACTGTACAAGATACAAGATGCAATTTGAAGCTCAATCAGGGTCTATTATTTTTTAATGTTGGTTTCATTCACTCTGTAAACAAAATGTGTTTCAATATGAACATATTTAGGTTTAAAGGCATGTAGTGTGATATAATACAGATAGTGAAAGACAAACCTGGGTGACTGATGGTAAAGCTAGTATCCTTGCAACAGCTATGGAGACCTCCGAGTACCTCTCACCAATGACCACCTTTGTCTCGGGTTCAGGCAAGGAGGAATTGATGTACGCAGGTATGAGACACCTCTGAGGGTCTGACTGGTTCTTCAGCAGCTGCAGAGCGGCTCTAATGGCCAAGCTGACGTCTCCACAAGTATCATAGATGTCATATCCGAGGGTGAGGTTTGGCAGCAGTCTTGGTGTACGTCGGTTTATTTCTTCGATGGCGTAGATCATCACTTGGGAGTGCAGAAACGTTTGACTAGTAAACCTGTAAATGAAAGCATTAAATAAACAGTGCATTTTCTATTTATTTGCTGTTTTATTTTCATGTAAAGCATTCTTACTTTTTGCAGGTGATTGTAGCACGGTCTTCTGTTCTGTTGGTTTGCTGGTGAATGGGAATAAGACCCCCAATCATAATGTCCCCAGGAAGGTATGCATGAAGAAAATCATTTTCAGAGCAAGAGTGAAATACAGCTAATAAATTTAGAAATAACCTTAAGAGAAACATGGCTGTTACAGTTTATCCATATGTTTGCACTTTGTATTCAGCTCCCTGTAGTGTGAACTGGTTTCCTGGAAAACTTCTCAAATAAGGTTTCCTCACCACAGTTGTCAATCATTTGCATTTTCAGACTGATTCCTACCAACATCTCTCGAATAACTGACACGAAAATGGTGAGGCAATTTGAATCCTGCTAAAAATCCCACAAAGAGGGATTCATTTCTGACTGCGTCTGATCTCCACCGGAGTTCAGCAGATCAATAAAGGTTTATGTCTTTTACTAGTTGATAATCCAAGTCCAGAAAGTAACAAGCAGGTACAGAGATCAGTTTCAGTCTCTTGTATTTCCAGCTCAAAAACAAAGACTGATGGTTAATCACCTCTTTATGTACAATGAAGGAAAATCAGGGAAAGTTTATGAACTTTCTGGACCTGGATTATCCTCCTCTGTTCTCTTTCCATTTTTCCCTGAAGCAGTGGCCTCTGACTTCTCTGTTCTGTAGTTTTACATTCAGTCCATGAGAGGGCAGCATGATTCATATAAATCAACCTTCGTGTCATTAACTCTCCTATTAATGAAAATGTTTTTGATTAAATAAATACTGTTTTGAAACCATACTTTAGGCCCTCTAAATATATAATAATAATATATAATCTATATTATTAAAGACATTTCATCCAAGCGCTGCGTGTCCCGAGCCGTGACATCATCAATGACCCCTCACCCCCCCACCATGGACTGTTCTCCCTGCTGCCCTCTGGGAAGAGGCTTCACAGCATTCAATGCAGGACCAGCAGGTTCTGCAGCAGCTTCTTCCCCACCGCCATCACACTGATGAATGTTTAGTAAAATGGGTTATTATATTGTATTTTATTATAATTATTATGTTTTATCATTATATATATAAAAAAAAAAAAAGGAGAAAACTAAAAATACACACACATATGTATATAACACTGTTAAAACATAGATTTTTAACAATTTTTCAAGGCTGCACTTAAAAAAAAGAAATGAAATTGTGCAGAGAGCTGTTCCAAACGAAAATTCTTCTTGTTTTACAGTAGTGTAAATAAAATGGCAAATAAATGTGTCTAAGTGTAATAAAACAGAATCTTTCACGACCAGCTGAACATGCAGGATTTAGGCTGAAAGTATTTCTGTAGGCCACCTGTGGTTGAGAAACTAGGACCCTGCAGGGATCAAATGAGTCTTTGGACTTAGCTGACTTCCAACATGCCATCCAGCAGAACATTGTAAAGAACGTCACTTCACTGTCAGCTCATTTCATCATGTGGCTCTTCATGTTAGCTAAGAATTTGAGAACTATTTACTGATTAATGCTAGGTTTGCTTCAGCAAAAAAAAAAAATTGAACAATTCTGCACAAATGATCCTTAATTAAACTAAAAGAGTTTTTATAAAATTAAAAAGCACCAAAACTTTGTCCTTTTGACATGTCATTGAGCAGCTTATTGCACTAATATTTAATCCTTTCAAATGTGAAATACTAAAACACTAACAACCAGGACATATAAGCTGAGTTTGTTGGGTGTTTCTTAATAGTAGCAAAAAAAAAGTGGATTTTATCATAACTTTCATTCTTAACTTTATGATCCTCTTCAGATAAACTTTAAACATGTGATCGTTGGACTTAAGGGACACGTTTCATACATGTCATCCTAACATATGAGTAAGCTTTGATTAACACCGTTACCGTGGAGATCTGGCTGTGACTTCCAGCGCATTGTGCTGAAAATTTCCCCTAATCTCTCGTCTACTGCTGCCGTTCATATATTTCTGTCCAGGACTTCCCCTCCATTGATCTCTGTCCACCATCTCCTCAACTCCCTGGAAGTGCTGAAAAAAATATCTCAGCAACATGATGCTGCCACCACCGTGCTTCATCTATGGGTTGGTGCACTTATTATTATTATTATTACTTATTGCCACATATCATTTTGTAATTGGGACAACATTTTCACATTGGTCTTCAACCAGAAATGGTTGAATCTGAACATATATGGTTTTCATTACCTAATAATTTTCTTCTTCAAAGTTTTCAATAAACTACATTATTAACGTTTCCTGATAACAGATTGTCTCTCCTCAGCAGTGGATGGATCTGTGCTCTCTGATTAATGCTCTATTGAGAGCTTAGGTGGATGATTAAGTCTCACTTAGATTTAAATCTTCTTTTCACTTTGGGGAAAGGGTTTGAACTGTGCTCTGTGACATCTTCAAAGCTTATGGATATTAATTTGAAATATAATCTTTCTTTAAAGCTCTGCAGTCCTCACCCATCAGTCCATTCCTTAGTGCTCACTTTTTATTTGTTCACTAATGTTCTATAATAAACTGGATTTCCTCTCTCACTGAAATTAGTCTATGAGTAAACACAGATGAACTCATTTAGTTATTAATTTCATATCTAAAGTAAGTTGGTAGTAATTTATTTTAATTTTGAATATGGGAATAAAGTGCTAAGAAGCTTAAAAACGTAATTTTCTTTGCAGTGATTCAGTGAGTCTTTCTCCAGCCAAACATATCCAGGTAAAATACTCTGAAGTTTGTCCAAAGGGGGTTACTAAGCACTTTGTAAAATAATCACCTATATTTTAATAAAATTAAAGATGATCATGGATTTAAAATGCAGATTTGATTTATTTCTTATAATGAGATGTATCAGCCCTCACTTAATAATCTACAGGGTCTTGATTGGACCCCTGACTCTCCGCCTTGTGGGCAGAGGTGGAGCAGCCCATAAATGAGGGGGGCTCTGCTCCCATCCAGCTGAAGGAGCAACATGGTGTCTCTAATGGTGGTGGTCTTTGGTATCTTAGCGGCGGGATCTCAGGGCTCTGCACCACGGCGGTATGAACAGTCCAAGGACTTAACGCCCATCCACATCTCTTCTTCAAAAACGCAGGACGCAAAACGCTTCCAGGAGGTCCGCAGGAGCGACGAGAGAAGCGCGCAGCTGCGTCAGGGCGCGCGCACAGGTGCAGACTCCTACCTGAGGACCGGGGGACGGAGAGATGACGCAGGTGGGTGTCCTCCTTCAACATGGAGGAGCAGCGTTCCTCCATGGGGCCACAGAACAAAAGAAAAGCAAACAACAAACGCGCCAAAAGTAAAGAAGAAATATTAAAATTGGTCCAAATCAGTTACAATCTAATTCTGTCAGCACCTATAACCATAAGAAATGTATTTATTATACCACAAAAACTTGAATAAAAAATGTTAATTCTCAAAATAATGTTAGTGGGTGATGATGATCTGCTAAAGACATAATTAGTTTTGCTCTTAAAAATAAGATAATTAGATATTATGCACTTAAAGTTCTTTAATACATTAAACTCATTTTAAATGTAATTCATATTAAACTTAGAATGCTTAAATGACTTCAAGAAAAATTGACTTGCTTATATGTCATATTTCACTATAACAGGGGCCAGGACCAGTTCTACAGGCGCTGGCCTCTGTTGGCCCCTGTTGGCGCCTGTTGGCCCCTGTTGGCGCCTGTTGGCCCCTGTTGGCGCCTGTTGGCCCCTGTGTCTGTGAATATGCGCTCAGTCTGAATTTACACATCCACTGACATTTTAGTTAAAACTGACAGAACATCAACTTGTATTCATGTAGAATTAATTTCCACTCAGTTCTGCATTGATTTTAATTTGTTATTGAGTCTTAACATGTAGAAAATTCCACTATTTGATGCTGCTTCAGTCTTTTACACTAGTTGGCTTTTCTTCAGTGCATATCCTTCCAATAAGTCCTGGTTTTATGGCTCTAAGCTCAGTCTTCCTAAAGCTCCACCATCTGGCTGCTTGCAGCCGACTGGAGATTCTCCAGCAACTATCAGAAACAGGACAGGCACTGGACCTCCCCTAAACAAATAAATTATACTTTTTACAACAAGTTTTGCTGTTGCTGCTTTTTTTTTTTTCCTTTTCAGATTTTTATGTGAGTTAATTAATCTCTGCTATTCTGGAGTCTTTTTTTAAGGTTGTACCCAATGCAATAACTCTAAGAAAAAGGAAAAGTAACTGACCAATTAAGTAAGAAAAAGCTGTCAAAAAGTTTGTGTTTTTTTATTTGTTATTATCATCTTAAATCTGTGGGAGGAAGAAAGTCAACTTTTGTTTTTTTACATTGAAATCCTGGCCATTTTGAATATTTTTCGACATTTTGAAATTTAATATTTAATACATAATAAATCTATACATCGAAAGATATAACCAACTATTGCCAGATGCTTGTCTACCCATTTTGATATGCCTTATTACTTTTTCTTTGCTGTATAGTCTGTTGATCTGTTGTCAGTGATGAAAAATACGATGATTGTGTGCGGATTAATTATTTGGTCATCCAAGAAATGAAGAAAATTAAGAGAATATACCAGCATGACAAAGGTTAAAGAAAGACAAATACATTGTAACTATATTTCTCTCTTCTGTCACACCGTAAAATGTAAAACCTCTCATTTTTGCAAAGGAATTAAAATATTTTTTTCATTTACAGCATCAAGAACTAACTGCAAAAATCGTCCAATTGACCTGGTTTTCATCATAGACAGCTCTCGCAGTGTGCGCCCTGCTGAGTTTGAAAAGGCTAAGGCGTTCCTGCAGAACATGGTGGACAGCTTGGTCATAGGCAGAGACGCCACTCGTGTCGGCCTGGTTAATTATGCCAGCACAGTCAAGATCGAGTTTCTCCTCAACACCTACTTTGACAAGTCTTCGGTGAAGCAGGCACTTGGGAAGGTTGAGCCCCTGGCTTCAGGTACCATGACTGGCATGGCCATCAAGACCGCCATGGAAAAAGCCTTCACCAAGGAGGCCGGGGCCCGCTCCGCTTCCACCAACATCGCTAAGGTGGCGATTATAGTGACGGACGGGAGGCCCCAGGACAGGGTGGAGGAGGTGTCGGCTGTAGCCCGATCAGCTGGGATAGAGATCTATGCAGTGGGAGTCGACAGAGCCGATATGGCTTCCCTGCAGCTTATGGCCAGCCAACCACATGATGACCATGTCTTCTATGTGGAAACCTATGGCGTGATCGAGAAGCTCACATCCAAATTTAGGGAAACCTTGTGTGGTAAGGATGATGATAATGGGAGTGCAGATATTGATGATAACGGACTAGGCCCAAATGGCAGGAAAGACCATAATAACAATAAAGGGAACAACGGTATGTCAGATCGGTTCTATTCTAAATACCTGTGAGCATACGGGCAGCATCTTAAAAGGAATCTTCATTTTAAAGCTATTTGTACTCTTCTTTAGTTATAAGTATGAAAGTAACTAATATGCCACTTGTTCTAAGTAAATCTTAAAAGATGTCCAGAACCTGTGAAAAAACTGTTGTATTAATGCGGTTAGCATTAAACATGCATAAAATATTCCAAACTAACAATACTTAAAGAAAAGAAGATTCAAATTCTGGCCACATTCTTTAAAATGTTTGAAACCTCTTAAGATGTTGTCTGTTTTGTTCACAGAAATGTGCCGCTGCTCTAATTTATGCTGCACGCCATAAAACGCCTTTAAAAAAAAGCTACTGTTTCCATAAGAGCTTAAAAAAACGCATTGAAACATTTCAGATTTATTTTGCTAAATTTTTCTAAGAAGTCTAAATTTCCCTCAGTCACTCATATCAACACAAGCGACCCGAGTCGCATCTTTCTTTAAAAGCTCCTTTAAAATACATTTTATTGGAGGATTTGTTTCCTCAAGCTGTTTATGATGTAAACAAAAACAGGCTCAAATTATTTTGACATTTTTCCAAGTTTTTGGAAGGACTCCTCCAAATTTGATCTAACCAACCAATGAAGCTGATTTCATAAAAGCCTATAATGGATTGGCTTAGATTAGCAATAACTAACTTTAATATTAATAACTTAGAGCTAAAGCTTGGTGTTGAAAATAAAAACACGCACAAAAAATTTAAAAACTAATTTGAAAATGTTTACTGTTAAGTATGAAAAAAATAACACCAACTCAGCAGGTTATACCTGCAAAATCCTACTTTATTACTAAAAATAGAACTCGTATCCTAAAAAAAAATACTGCAAACTTTGAAAAGGAGAGAGTGAACAGAACACCAGTCTTCCATAAATGGTCGTTTTTTCCCATTACCATTGTTTTAAAACATATATTACTGAAATATTTCAGCTAAAGAATGTTTGTATTTTTCATCAATTTGGCTTTTTAGCAACTTTTAGCTTATTGTTAATCAACAAGTCATCCAAAGCAGTCTTTTTACAGGTTATCACTGATATCCACAGTTTATTTGTTAAAGTTGCTCAAAATAATTAGGTGCTTTGCAATCACATCTTTTCATTTTTGGTGTAATTGTGTCCTATTGTTCTCATTTAATGGCTATGAAGTAGCCTTTTAAAGTTAAAACTTGTGTAGCTAAGCTAAGCGGTAGCTTCTAGGCATGCTCTATGATCCTGTCACCTTTTTCAAACTGTCCAAGTTCTATTTTAAGCTAATGCATGCTTGCAATAGGTCGCTTTGTGATGCGTAAGGTTTGTCCTTAAAGTTCTCTCCATTTGACTTTAAACAACAATGACTCTTTTAGCTTTAATCAAAATTATCACCATTTACAGGATTGCTTCTGTAATAAAACAAATTTGACTAAATTCTCAAAATGTCATCTATGACATCTAAAAATGTTTGTACCAACTTTTAATCTCTCGATCTCTGAATACATTCAATTCCTAGAAAGGCTCACCAAAGATCTGTTACTAGAATAGCTCGAAATCTCAGAAATTAGACAAAAACACAGATTTCATAAGATTATCTTTCTCCACAGCCAAGATTAGAGAGAGTTCATCTGTTTCAACAGTTTATGCTTTTGGATAACTGTTTGGAAATTAAGTATTAAGTAATAAGGTTGGAGTATTTCAGAGAAAATTATCAATTATTTAAATAAATAAAATGACTGTATTTATGTGTGATCATCCAGCTTGAATCCGTCAGACTAGCGATCTGTGGAATTGGGTATCAGTCATACAACGTTCCAGATATTAAGCCTACTAGTTATTGCATTTGCTACTAACAGAGAAAAGCTTGCTGTTAAACATCCAACCCTTCCAAAGCTTCATGTTCTTAAATAGCACCACTATTTAATATTTACTCTTTCTGCACAAATAATAGCAACTGATGAGAAATAACATCAACGTATTTCTCTAGAGTTGAATTACAGAAATGATACAAGCTTATTGCATGTGACAGATTAACTAATAATTCACAGACTAACCAAATAACACAGATTGTTCTGTGATTTTAGTAGATATAAGCCAATCAGAAACTGAAGGGTTTCCCTTTAGGTTTGGATCCATGTGCTCAAGGACACAACTGTCAGCATATTTGTGTCAACAATGGCAACTCGTACAGATGCAAGTGTCGCTCAGGCTTCGTCTTGAATCCAGACAAGAAAACCTGCTCACGTAAGGATAAAAAACAACAACATTTTTTTAGTATTTCATTCTTCTTTTTTTTAATCTAATCTTGCCCAACATTTGTTAGAGATTAAATCTTATAGATGTTTGGATAATTTATTTAAATATATTTATCAAAGGATTGTACTCAAGCTATTAAATTTATGCAGGTCATGACATGATATCTAAGTAGTAGTAAAGAAGTTATTACATAAATGACAACTTTTCTTAAACAGTTTATAGTTTGCTTCAAGGTTTTTCTGCATTGTCTTTTTGAAAAACAAACTGTAGGTTGCAGAATTGTCAATTCTAACCGCAAAATTCTGTGAATAAAATTTCATGCATGTTTTCTTCATGGTTTGTGATAATTCCAGATGCAACATTTCAAGTGGCATAAAAAAAGTCTGTCAGTGGTGTAGGATTAAACCACAAGTTTACAGCTTCTGCAGAATCAAACAAGTCTTTGTTAATCTTCTGCCAGAACAATGTTTCAACCTGATGTGTTGCTCTGTTTAGGTGCAGACGCTTGCAGCCAGGGACACGACTGCCAGCACGTTTGTGTTAACAGTGGTGACTCGTACATGTGCCAGTGTCAAAATGGATACGTGTTGAACCCGGACAAGAAAACATGCTCACGTAAGAACATAAATCTCTCATTGGATCATAATCTCCAGCTTTCGTGACTGAACGAGTTTTTAGGTTTAAATGTAAAGGTTATCAAAGTCTCCTTTTGCTCACAAGTCAAAGGAGTTTTAAGTTCTTACGTATGTTAGACAGAGCCAAGTGGTTTAACAAATTAAAGGTGTAGTGGAGGATTTTTCGCAAATTTTTGAAAAGACCCGCCCTTTCCACTTAAAAAAAATGCACATGCACAACCATGTACCTGCTCCCAAGAAGGAGAGCATGCACAAGCGCATTTCTCCTCGTGCATGCTTAAAAAATAAAAAAAAAAGCTATTTGCAAGCTTCCTTTCCAAAAGAAGGTTTGGAATTTTCCACTATGTCGGACTCACATCTGTTAAGTGAAAATTGGGACGAGGTCGTAGGACGGCCTTACGTAAGCATATCACCAGAATGATTGACAATTAGGAGGACCACTTATTTTGATGATCCACCTGGAAAAACAACATCCTCCACTATACCTTTAAAGAGTAAAAATAAAAACTGTTAACAAGCAAATAATGACATTTTATGCATAGGATACCTGTAATTAGATTTTATGGGCTTTAAAGGAATAGTACACCCAAAACATGATTAGCCTTCATTTTCTACTCACCCCCATGCTGAACAACACTCTGGAGTACTTTTTTGATATCTCAAATGCATCTGGAGATCTGGGAGGCTTCTTGCTGTCTGCTGACATTCAAATAATGGAGGTCTATGGCGCCCGAGGCAGAAAGGTCCATAAAAGTCCACAAAAAACTATTCCAAGTGTCCTGAGTGGGTAGCGTCCATAATTTACTCGAAACGAAGTCATTTAGAATGTTTTTAGAGCATAAACAGTAGTGTATAGGACTTCCTAAAAGCGCGTTCACGACGCTACGGAAGCCGGCAGACCAAACCAGATGAAAGTGCGCATTCAGCGTCTGCTCTGCCGATAATGCAAGCGTAGAAGAAGAAATGTGCTGTTTACCTGTGCAAAGAAAGAAACAACGAAAGAAAAATGTCTGAGGACTTCAGTGTTGAGGAAGAGCATGAGTTCTTTGCCGAGCTGAATGCGCACTTTCATCTGGTTTGGTCTGCCGTGGTTTCCGTAAACTCGTGAACGTGCTTTCAGGAAATCCTATACACTACTGTTTATGCTCTAAAAACATTCTAAATGACTTCGTTTCGAGTAAATTATGGACGCTACCCACTCAGGACACTTGGAATACATTGGACGAGCAGTATGGAGGAATATTGACACGTTTTTTGTGGACTTTTATGGACCTTTCTGCCTCGGGCGCCATAGACCTCCATTATTTGAATGTCAGCAGACAGCAAGAAGCCTCCCAGATCTCCAGATGCATTTGAGATATCAAAAAAGTACTCCAGAGTGTTGTTCAGCATGGGGGTGAGTAGAAAATGAAGGCTAATCATGTTTTGGGTGTACTATTCCTTTAAGGGCTGGTGAGTTCTACAAAAAATGTAAGATTTTTGCCCTTTTTTGGGCCGACTTTCCAGTTGTGCGAGAACTTTTCAATCTGACCGACTTTCAGCCTGATCGTGTGTCGTGCGTCATGTAGTGTACAGGGGGTCCTGAGGGCCGATTAGCCTCTCTCCACCACCTTCCAATCAGGAGTCCTGAGGTCGGGAGAAAATCAAACATGTTTGATTTTCAGTCGTGGGCAAATCGCTCAGTGGGCAAACTAGGATTCTTCTTTCTCTCAGATGAAAACAAAAAGCAAGGCAAGGGTGCGAGTGAAATGGAGAAATTGACCGACCGTAGTAGCCACGTTTGCTCAGCCATGTCACCTCACTGCGGAGTCTGACGTGGTTTTTAGACATATAGTGTGAGCAGGTAGATCGCATCACAGCTAGAGTTGCACTGATACCAGTATCAGGCGGGGCCCCGATCCAGCACTAAAATGGTAGTATCGGTATCGGCGAGCACCAACCAATAGGGCACCGATACCATTTTGAGAGCCCAAAGTTTCTTCAACTATTGTCACCCATTCCAGGTAGGCAATAAAAAGTTCTACTGGATTCTCTTTGTTTTAGTCTTTTTCCTGCTTCACAAAGGAAGGCAGCAGCTTGACATGAAGCCATGATGGTGATTATTTTACATCCCAGTAGTCTGCAGTTCTTCATAGAGACACACACAATAATTTCAAACAGATGGCATCGGTATGGGCCAATACTGTACAGCCTGGTATCGGGTATCGGTATCGGGGCCAAAAAATGGCATCGGCGCATCACTAATCAGAGCGTCAGGTCGCACATTGTGAGAACAAACATTGTGAGCTGTGAACTCGCACTGTACGACAAAACCGTAGGGTCTAGCTCTAGCTCCGTGCAACGATTGAGAAAATCGCACAGTGTGTGCCCGGCGTTAGGTTTCTCTTTCAATTTGTGGACTTAAAAAATGTTTCAAGATGCTCTGTAATCCATCCAACTACTTGGATGATTTTCTACGGAAAAAAAAAATGTCACCTGATTTCCAGATGTCAAGATAATGTAAAAAAAAAAACTAAAGCAGCTGTTGCTGCAACAAAAGCTGGTTCTAAAAACTATTGACTCTTTGACAACTCTCAGATTAAGTTTAAATTCCTTATTGTAATCTGTAAATCTGTACAAATCATGTAAAATTCAAAGCTTTAAAACTTTTCAATGATACTGTGTGCAAATTAGGGATTTGCCCGTCATGCACTATGGCCGAGGCTTTTTGAAAATGAAAACATCTCCTTTTAGTTTTAGATAAATGTGCACCTGGACATGAATGCCAAAACATATGCCAACAAAGACTACTCCTATATCTACAAATGATAGGCCTGATATTCGATAAAGGCAGACCAGAAACATGCTTGTATAATATCCCTAGTATGTTTTTCTCTTCCTGTTGTTTTTTTTTGAATTTCTTTAGGTATCACAAATTCATTTAAGTGTTTCTTTGTTTGCTGTGTTTATGTGTCTTTTCCAGGTATGGATGCATGTTCTTCAGGCCATAACTGCCAGCATATTTGTGTCAAACGTGGAGATTCATATGTCTGCATGTGTCGTAAAGGATATGTGTTGAATGCAGACAACAAAACGTGCTCACGTAAGGAATTTTGCAGCTACATATTGTTTTGCTTTGGTGGAACACATGCTGTTTTACAGAAGTATAAAGATATATAGCACTGAATTATCTCAAGTCTTCATTCTTATATAATCTGAGGAGATCCTAAAGATGACAAAAATCAGTTTTTCAGTTAGAGATAAATATTGATCATACTGATTATAATGGGATTGAGGCTTTGTATTACTTGCTTTAAAGCCTTTGTCTGTTCAATATGGTTCATACTTTTTTCGTCTCCCTCTAGTGGTCTGGAGCACTTTTGTGGAGCGTTTTCTGTTTTCACATAATTTTATTTCTCTGATTGCAGCATTTTGTTTGCATTTATTTTGTAGATTGTAGGTTTTTGCTTCTATTTTTAGTGATTACAGCATTTTATGTTAAGTATGTTGGCAAAGTTTATCTGTTGCATTTGTTTTTTTTTTGTGTGTTTATGTGTTTTGGGGGAGGAGCATGTAGGACCGCCTAACGTAAACATATCTCCACAATGATTGACAATTATTTACACAATCCACCATATTAGGGAAACCTTGTGTGGTAAGAATGATGCTGGACTATTCTGAGTTTGAAGGAGCATCTGTGTCATGATTTTATCTAAGGCTCGGACCCACATGCAGTGAAACCAAACAGAGAGACACAGAAGAAAAGTTTGACTGACTTTATTGAAGATGTTTAGCTTGATGCAGAGTTTCCCTGAACTCCGCTCAGCCGGAACTGGAAGGCGAGGGGAAGACAGACTGTTAGTTCAGGCTCAGTGGGAAATTTGATTCGTTGATCTTGAAGGAGAGGATCTGATTGTTGACTCATGTTTCCAGAGAAGTGAAGGAACCATGACTCCAATCTATGTGTTGGTTTTCCAGTGTATGTCTGATTTGGTGGAGGGTAGAACAGGGTTTACCCAGAACTCGGACGGTGAAGATGAATGGAGACGCTGATTGCCACTCAGATTTCCTGCTGTACTTGAACGGGTCGTGGT